GAGGGGTGCAACAATGAATGAATGGAATTCCAAAATCTCTGTAGATGTTCATTGAAATGAAAAATAAATTAAAAAAAATAAAAAAAGAGATAGAAATGGATGGATGATAGATAGATGATAGATAGATAGATAGATAGATTAGATAGATTAGATAGAATATCTATATGTGCTATATTAAACCAGAACCTAAAAAGTAATATTTTTAGGTCCTAATCCACTCATGCCCTTAGTTGGGAACTCAAATGCCTGATACTATTTTGGATTCTTTACCAGAAGTCAAAGAGATTTTAGAAATGCAGCCAAAGAAGGTGATATTTTTTAAAAACTATGGCAAAAAAATAATACAGCATGACAAGTCAACATTTTACAGGTATAATTCAGCAGGCTGACATTAATTGTTCTTTAATAATTATGCATATCCATTTTCAAATTTCCCATCACTATTATTAGATATGCAATGCTTCCTCAACAATGGGCCCCTATTTTAACTCCCTCATGCCCCTGGTAACCACAAAAATCGTTGGTCTCTACACATTAACTTAATTTAAATATTTCATATAATATTTGTCCTTTTGTACCTGATTTGCTAGAGAAAGTGATTTTAAATGAATGGAAATACATATTCTGTTTCTCTTCCTACTGTTTTCTAGGCTTTAATCGTCAGGTTTAGTTTGGGGGGTTTGGTTTTATAGGCTCTTGGATAATAAGAAAATTTATTACAGAAACACAAGGTATCTACCATCAATGCAGGCAGACACACAAAAAGAGCTAATCATTCCCCTACCTCTTTCCTCAAACTGCTTCAAGTCTAATTAGGAAAATAAAATTACAAGTATTTAGAAATCTTTCATCTACTTCATAAAAGGTATTCCAAAGCCATAGGCATAATTATTTCTCAATATAGTAAAAATATTTTCAATATATAGAGTATCTTGTGGTGATTTGAAATGTTTCACTTCTCTTGAGCAACCAGAATTAACTCCACCTTAGAGGACATTTCTGGTTGGCACCCTTAGTGCGAGGGAGCTCTGGAAGCCTAGTGGCAAGAAGCTGTGCTGCAATCCAGAAGGCACATGGTTCAAGACTACTAGGTACTCTGCAGGAGAAGGATGGACAACAATCTCATCATGTGTGATTAACTGCTTCTGAAAACCTGGCTATGGGCCTGCCTACTGGTCGGTTCCAACTCAACAATCCACAACAACAAACACCCTTATTTTCATGCCTCTATTTATCATCACTTCCTCTTATATAATCAGTCCTTCATCTGCAGTCCTGTCAAGAAGCAGTGTATCAGACATTAGGCTTTTTGTGAGAGCCGGCCCACCAGAGGTGCTTAACAACCTTCTACTTAAGTGTTGGTGCTTCCCTTTCCTCCTCTTTCACTTACCCACAGAATCAATGCTATTAAGACAGAATACATGCAGTGAAACCAATATTCATGTTATAAAAATAAAGTGTCTTCTATTACAATCAAGAGGCAGCTGTGGTGATTGGAGAAGCAGGTGAGGAGTGGGGGTGGGCCTCTGAGCACTGCCCACTGGGCTCACTTCCCCTCCATTCTTCTGTTAACGTTGGCTCAATGTGACCAGATAGGTTTTCTCTTCTGGATAAAGGCCTTGACTCCTTCCTTTCCATCCTGTAGGGTCAAGTTGTCCACCATGGTCTGGCAGGTGAGGTGATAGGCTGTTCTAAGGTCTTGAGGTAGTTGCTTGTAGAAGGTGGCTTTGCCCAAAGACAACACAGGGCGACTCAAGGAGGCAATCTTCTTCGCTATCTTCATGGTCTCTTCTTCCAGCTGCTCTTCTGGCACTACTTTGCTGAGCAGCCCATGGGACAGTGCCTCCTGAGCAGTGATGGGCTCCCCCGTGAAAAGCATTTCTAAGGCAACCTAAGAGAGAAAACACAGGGAATGATTAAGGCTCTCTCCTTATACTGCACTGCCGCCTAAACCACCCCTCCCCACTTTACTCAGCTGTAGCAGTCTGTATCCAGGCTTACCCATAGCTTCAGCCCAGTTATCTGCTTCCTCAAATAACTTGTCATCCACCACCTCGATGTCTTCAGCACCCTAACTCTTGCCAGGAACAGAAACAGATCTTCTTTCCAAGAGCAAAAAAAAATACAAGTGGCCTAGGAGAGGAAAGGACTCTTCATGTTCTCCTTGCTCCTTACACAGATCTGATCACCTGAAGCAGGAGATTCAATCTACCTTTACCAAGTGCCAAGTACAGGACACCAGCCACATCAGATGGAATGAAACTTCAAACCCTGAAGCAAGTGAAACCCATTATCTCCCCTCATGTATCCTTCACCTAAGAAACCAGTACAGTGACTACTTTCCAGAATGAGAGAAACTGTCACAGTACTGTCACCTCAGCCTGCTTTGAAAGAGGAGCCTGCTGTATTTTAGAGGATTTCTTATCTTCCAGGAACCAGAAATTAAGCCACAACTGATTTTACCTAACTAATAAATAAGATGTGGCAAGAATAAGCAGTAACATAATACCTGAAGGTTATTTCAGAGAAGAGTATTTTATAGTTGATGGAACAGCATTAGTACTGCAAAGCCTATTTTTTTTTTAAAGTTTGTTTTTAACATGGAACTAAAACACGGGTTTTTTTCTGATTATAAGCTGATGGCTAAGACTCTGACAAAGATACTCAGTGTAGTTTCTGCTTGAGAATCATGTGTCAGTTAGGATCTGATCAGAAGCCAAGGTGAGAAGAGTCATCACACCATCAAGCTCTGCTTTCCCCCTTTATTAATGAAGACAATTCTCAGGGAATTTTCATTATTGTTATGTGCTGTTGAGTTAGAACCAAGTCACTTGTTGACCCTCCAACAAGTATTAAGAATTAAGAGGCTGTACACCGAGTAGAAAATTGCTCATCTTTCTCCTATGATTCCAACTGCCTGCCTTTGGGTTGGCAACACATAATTTACCCAACCATATATTAGTAAGTGGCCAATCCTGAAAACAAAACACACCAAAGTCAAGATTATTAATTGTTTTATAACTTAGATTGATGAAGACCTCAAATGACTTTCAAAAAGCAGTTAAGAATACAGAGTTGGAAGGATTTAAAATTCAAAGTACTAATTGCTCCTTCTGGCTGGCTCATCAGGTCGGCATTTGTTCATATTCATGTGGTAGAGACCTGCAGATTGAAGTTTGGGCTTATGAGCTGCCCTTGGGTACAGGTGCCTTTATAAGATGGCTTCTCTGGTGGCTTAGTGGAGGGAGTTGCACTACCAACCCAAAGGCGGCAGTTCAAATCCACCACCACACAATGGGCAGTCTCCTCCCATATGACTTATAGTCTCTGAAAACTTACTCAAAGATCAGCTAGGAGTAATTTCTTACTTGACAGCAATGAGTTCTTGTCTTCAGATAAATTCTTTTTCAGTCTTTTCTTTTGATGCCTTTCTGTCTTCTCCTGAGCCTCTATGTGCCAATTCTTCTTTTCACAGCTTCCATTAGACATTTATACAATGCCTGCCAGATATTATAGGTGCACAAGATTCCAAATGCCTTAGTGAAAGCCCACTGGAGCCTTTGGAAGCTTTCACTTTGGAAACCTAGCCTTCTAGGTATCTATGCAGTGAAGCTTAGGACAGACCCAGGATCTCATCGCAGACCTAATGAATGCTGATTCTACAGTGGACCCCTGGGAAAAATCACTTCGTATTTCTCACCTCCTCAACATACAACAGGTTGTCTCCCAGGGATACTGTGAGGAATACTAGCTTATGACCGACTTCAGGACACCCTGTCACATCAATTGTAATGGAAGTGCTAGGAGGAAAAAAATTAGCCCATCTGAGCAAGATACAAATCATGGGAAACAACAGTGATAGTCTTTGCTTGCAGAAGAGAATCTCAAGGGACCTGGTACAATTCTGAGTTTACAAAGGAGGATGATCAGCTTCCATAAGGCAGGTAGGTCTCAAGTGAGAGCATAACATTACCTCATCCATTTATTCATTTAACAGTTATTTTTTGAGAACTTATTTTGTGTCAAATGTAAGAATACTATTAATTTATATAACAGCTTGATTCTGAAGCAATTCCAAAAATGTGTTTAAAAATGAAACCATTTTAATGTCTAAACGGAATTATTCTGGAAGAGTGTGGCCTTCTAACCTCTGAAAATGTATGAGTAGGGAAGACATCTCCCCTTACCCCATAATTGTCAGGGAGCAATGACTCAGGACCAAGAATTGAGTGAGCTCTTAAATTTCTTTCTAGTTAAAATATTTTTACTGTCAATTTAAGGTCTCTAAAAGGAAATTACCTTAACATATGTTGCTTATTGTTGCTATTTTGTGACAGCAAGCCAGAACTGACTTATAGCTGACCCTCCAGCAGGTTCCCAGAGGTTTTAAAACACACAGGAGGAGACTGCCCATCTTTCTCCCAAAGAGCAGCTGGTGGATTTGAACTATGTGTCTTTGGGTTGGCAGTGCAACTTCTTATAATCAGGTCAATTAAACAGAAAAGATCACTTTCCCCTTTCAGTCACATAATTTGTCAATCAAAGAATGCCAGATATGTAGGCAGAAATATCCAATGACTGACAGTCAAAACAAGAAAGACAGAAATTCAGATAATTAAGTGAAGTTGTTCTTATATCTGTACAATAGGAACCTACTCATAACTGACCCTCTAGTGTGTTTTCAGAGGCAGTAAATCACAGAGAAGATGGCCCATCTTTCTCCCACCAAACAGCTGGTAGTTTTGAACTGCTGTACACCTTTGTGTTGGCTGTACAATTCCTTACCACTAAGTCACCAGCGCTTCCCACCAGAGACCCTACCAAAATCCAGGCCTGGTGATAAGAATGGCCATAAATAAGTTCTATGCATCTCCTATTATCTACAGTCTAGTAGTGATATGTTGTCATTGATATTGTGGTCTATTGTTTGATATCTTTGAGTCAGTTAAGACTAACTCTCATGTTCAACAGAACAAAACAATTCCAGGTCTCACACCTTTCTCATTGATGCTATGTTTAAACCTCTTCGTGCAGCCACTGTGTTAACTACCCACTAAGGATCTTCTTTTTTTCTTATAAGTCTCTGTTTTATCAAACATGATGCCCTCAAGGGGCTGACATCTCTTGATAACATGCCCAAAAATTATGTGAGATGAAGTCTTTTCTATCCTCACTTCTCAGAAGCATTCTTGATATATATCTTCCAAGACAGGTGTGTTCATTCTTCTTTCAGGCCATGGTATGAATACTGAATATTCTTAGCCAACATCATAATTCAAAGGCATCAGTTCTTCAGTCTTTATACATTGGGTGACTTTCACATGTGAGGCAATAAAAATATCATTTGAGTCAGGCATTCTACAGTTCTTGGAGTGATATCTTTGCTTTTTAACACTTAAACAGGTTCTTTGCAGCAAATTTCCCAATACAGTGTATATTTTGATTTCTTGACTGATACTTCCCTGGGAGTTGATTGTAGATGTAAGTAAAATGAAATCTTGACAACTTCATTATTTTTTTTCATAAATGATAGTGTTGCTTACTGGTCCAGTTGTGAAGATTTTTTTTTATGTTAACACCTTATTGTGCTCATGCAAAGCTACACGTAGACCTGAAGGCAATTGTCAGAACAGAGCAAGGAAACACTGCATGGTTCAAAATCAGAAAAGGAGTACATCAGGGATGCATTCTGTCTCCATACCTTTTCAATCTATATGCAGAACAGATCATTTGGGAGGCTGAATTTTATGAGGAAGAATGTGTCATCAGAATTGGAGGAAGACTCATCAACAACCTATTTTATGCAGATGACACAACTTTGCTCCCCAAAACTGAGGGGGATCTGTAGTATTTACTGCAGAATATCAAGGACTGCAGCCTTCAATACAGGTTGAAGCTCAATATCAAGGAAACAAAGAATCATGTGAATAGATGATAATGTAAGAGAAAAGGACCCCCATGGTTCATTTAGCAATGAGGGCAATAATGAGCTAGGTCAACCAGAGAAGGGTGGAGTGCCAGTCTCCTCTGACAGTTTGAAGCCCAAACTTGAGAGGGGTGGAGAAAGTTTCTCCAAGCACTATGACAGCTTCCAGTATCCTGGCACTTCTCCCTTCAGTCAGGAAGCCCTAGAACAATTTAATGGGGCTAATGTTGCTCATGAAAAGAAGCCTTGACTGAAAGAAAATCAAGAGTCAGCAGGAGCGGGCTGAGTTCTTGACTCTGCCTTTGCCTTCTTAAAACATTTCAGCCAAGTTTATTTCTCTTGCTGGTCCTCAGTTCCCCTCTCTGCCTAATAGGGTGTTACCACTTAGATGCATTTTGATTTAGAGGACCTCTACTTATACAGATTAAATAATAGAGGAACATTCTGTAAGAAAAAACATCTGTTTTATAGCTAACTAGAATAGCTTTTACTTAGTATTCACATTTCTATGTCAAATATCCTACACTGAAACATTTTAAAAGATGAAAGAAGAAAATATATGCACTCATCCTTTTCCCCTAAATCTATTCATGTTTCCTTTTTGGGAGGTATGTCTTTGGTCATCTAAGGAAGTTGATGATTTAATAGTTTCTTGTGTCTAAGGTATTTGCATTAAAACTAACAAATGGGATGTAAGACCAAGGATTTGAGACTGAGGCATTATGTTTTAGTGGATAGATCTACGGCTTAGAATTAGATGTACCAGAATTCCTATTTCAGATTCATCCCTTAGTAATTACAAGATTTTAAGCAAAAATTTAACTCTTTTGTGCCTGTTTCCACATCTGAAAAATGTGAATAAATACATCTATTCTTCTGAAGTATTTTGAAGATAAGAATTATGTAAACTCTAGAGCACAGTGCGTGGCACGGTGAAGGCACCTGATACATTTTTTGTTGTTAGA